CAAGTAATCTGGGGGGGACTTTTCCCAAGGGCCTGTAGTGACAGGACAAGGGGTAACGGGTTTAAACTGAAAGTGGGGAGGTTTAGATTGGATATCAGGACGAAATTCTTCCCGCAGAGGGTGGGCAGGCACTGGGACAGGTTGCCCAGAGAAGCTGTGGATGCCCCATCCCTGGGAGTGTCCAAGGCCGGGCTGGATGAGGCTTGGAGCAGTCTGGTCTAGTGGAAGGTGTCCCTGCCCATGGCAGGGGGGTTGGAACTGGATGGTCTTTAAGGTCCCGTCCAACCCAAACTGGTCTGTGATTCTATGATTACCCGCAGCAATAAAACACTCTGTAAACATCCCTCTTCGTCTGTGATCAAATGTGCGATAGGGCCTGCCACAACTCCGAGGGCACCAGCACCGCCGCCGCCTTCCCAGCTAACGGACCTGCTCTAAAACTTAACATAGGAAGCAGAAAAACCCCGCGAGCCTGAACAAACCCCAAAGAGATTGGTGTGAAGCAAGCAGCTAGGGCACTGCAAACGCTGCAGCTTGTGCCCAAGCTCGGTCATGAAAACCGCAGGCTGCACACTCACCAGGGTACCGAACAGTCATGCTTTTTCGTGCTTTACATACTACACACGCCAGCTAGGCACTGAATGTAAGTATCTATTTGTTCCTAAAGCCAGGACTTAGGGTGGTTCTTTGGGGTTTGGTTTTTTTTCAGTTCTCTCATGTCTGTTTTGTTAAGGTCAGTGCTGCACAAGCCGGGAGACTCTGCCTTTTCATTTCATGCCAAACCCAGCTTAATGAAATCCACAGGAAAATACTGGTAACATGAAATATGAAAACACAAACCACAAGGGCAGTCTGGTCTGGTTCCCACCGTACACATGTTCAAACAAGGTTGTTTTCCAGGACTCGATTAGCACTTCTGGCAGGATGATGTAATAGCAAAGAAAAAAAAAAGGGCTGTTGCTCCTTGCTTAAAAAGACCAGCAAAGCACAGGGGTTAGGGGGGAGAGGGTAAATAAAAAGGGAAAAGATAAGGAAATATCATGTCCAGCCTCAGACTGAAACTTCCTAAATCTAACTTTCTCCCCCAAAACAAGAGCAGGGCCCGCAGCAAAATCCCCTCCGTGCTGGGGGTGGTGATAACTGCAACATGCGCGCCTGCTAGGACGTGGGGCTGCAAAGGGCCCTTCACAACTTCCCTGGTACCTCCCCAGGTTGGGGGGTGGCTGCTCACAGCCCCTCTTTGGCTACTTTAAATCCAAGTGTGAGATCAGAGAAATCCTTCACGTGCAGCTGCAGTTGAGCAGCAGATGTTTGGAAGAGAGGGGGGAGAAGCTGCAGCTCACTAATGATTATTTCCCTTCTAGAGGTCTCATCAACTCCGAAACACCCCAGCAATACTCATTAACGTAAATCACTACGGCCAGAGAAGCCATTTGCCAAGTGCTCAGAGCCTGGCTATCCTCAGGAGCCCGCACACGGGATGCAAAGTCCCGGCTAAGGCTGGGCTGATCCACAGGAAACATCCACGGCAAGATCCAGCTCGCCCCGAAATCTTCCCATTGCTGGCGACCGGCCGTGTTCACGCTCCGTTTTAAAAGCTGCCCGGCTCCTGGCAGAATCCACGTGCACGAAGGCATCACGTATGCTGTGGGGCAGCTGAAACCTAGCCTGGCCTGGAAACAGGGGGAAAGAACCCCGTGATGTGGGTTTTTAAGCTCGCTGAAGGGTCCGGGATCGTCTGCACTCGTGTCTGAGTCACATCAGCTGGCGTGTTCCTGAAAGCCAGCCTGGGACACCACGGAACGCCTGTGGTTTTTTCTGGAAGTCAGGATTGACCGTCAATTAACTGGAGGTTATAAAAAAGGAGGTGTAATTGAAGGAACACGGATGAGCAGGAGGAACAGGTACTGTGACGGCAGAGAACAAGCCATGGGGCAATTCACCCTACGAAGGGTGTTTGTGGGGATACGCTGCACCGTCGTTTCCCTGCCCAGGGGAAAAGGAAGATCCGATTGACCAGAAACAAAATGAACTCTCCTGCTAAAAACAAAACAACCCAAGACACAAAAACCAAAACCACAACTCAATTTGGGGAATTTATGGGAAAAAAAGGGCTGTCACCAGGAGGAGAGAATGAAATGTTATCCCATGCTCCCCACCGCACAGGACGGCCACCCGTCGCAGAGAGCTGGGGCACGTAGGAAAGGGCGCTCCAGGCTCACTAGCAATGGCACAGCTCCTTTTCCGCCGTGCTCCGCCAAAATGCCCCTCCAGCTCAGCACGGCAGATCTCCAACGACGCGAACGGCACGGAGAGGCTGGGTGGGGCGAGACGCCGAGGTGCCTTGTGCTCGCTTCTCCCACTCCACGACAGGCCACTGCAGCTCTGCTTTCCGCAGATGTAAAGGCGCTGAGAAGCCAAAAGCACACGGGGCAGGAACAACCTGTTTCTACTTTTGGGCAGAAGCCCTTCTTCCTCCCTTCGCTAGAAGCTGAGCTTTGGGTTATTATCTGCCTAATCAACCTAACCATCGGATGCAGTTGGTGCCAAGCCCAGGAAGCGGCGGCGGAGGTCTCATCTGCACTCACGCACGTCTTCTTTTCCTCTGCGAGCCTCCTTCCCACGGCGTACAGCTCCGACCTCTCACACCAGCATCTGCTATCTCCTCACAGCCCTAACGAAACACAACGATGCAAACCTCCCCCTTCCCCTGCTGAATTAGCACAATTCATTTAGTTCTGTGATCGTAACTGCGCAGCAAGAGCAGGGGATCACCAAATTCTAACCCAACCCCGACCAGGTACGACCGCGGCTTTGCCTCGGCCAGCTGGGGCTCCCGTTACTGAATGAAATGAAAGCACAAAAGGATGAGCCTTGAACGAGCTCACACCATCTCCCAGGCCAGCATATGCCAGGGTGACTGGAAACAGGCTGGCCCAATCCTCATCCAGAGCAAGGGCTTGGTGGGCTCCAGCTGCAACAGCCTGAGGAGATTTGCAGGTTACCAACCCCAAAAAAGCAGAGCGAAGCAGCGATACCTCCCACCATGCCCCCCAGACCAGCCCTCCTCTCTCCAGCCCGTGTGCTCCCACTCCTTCAGGCTCCATAGGTTTTTATTTAAGCATAAATGCAAAAGGTTTTCTTCTCCAGGGAAGCGGAGCATGGAAACGCTGGGAGATGAACCAGCCTTCCCAGTGCGGCTCACGCAAGTTTCTCCGGCTCCTCGCTGCCTGAAACCAGACTCTTTCTGGGCTCGGGATGGCAGGGATATGTATCACTTCCTGTATGACTGAATATTTTCCTTCCACGCTCTCCCATTTCTCCCACAGCTTCTCCACCCCATGCTGGAGAGATGGAGCCCAACGTGATCATTTTTAGACATTCTGAATACGCTTCAGCCTGCAGCGCAGGGATGAGCCGTGCCCCGTGAGCAGACTCCTTAAGGATCGATAATAGCCCTTGGATTTACACCAGCACGGCTTTGGTGCTGCGAAACACAACATCCCTCAGCAGCCAGGCAAGAGGAGAGTGGTTTTTGCTGGGAAGAGCAAGCTCTCCTTGCTCAACGGGCATTAGCACCGCCAGGATGTTACCGCGGAACGTGTTGCTTGAACCCGCTGGCTTTTGCAATCCAGCTTTCGGCAGCAGGAAAACCTTTCCCCTGCTATGAAAGTGATCCTTGCTCTCCCTGCAACGGAGAAACCTAGGGCTGGGGTTTCCTCCACCAGCATCTCACACCTTTAGGCACAAGGCATCTCGTTAATCTATGCAACGTCCGTCCAGCAATCGGCCTTCAGATAAGCTCCGCACACACGCCCTCGCTGTTAGCAGGGCAGGGAGGCTCGGAGGGCAGACTCTCCGACACCACTCCTCCTAGCTAACTCGGTCACAAACCTCCTCCTCAGCCGGGCAGTTTTGGGTTCAGACAAGCTCTGACCATTATGAAGCTGGTTTGCAAACGTTATTTCCCATTTCAGCCTTGACACTCCTCTCCGAAGGGCCAGTGAAACCCCCGAGCCAAGCAAGACACAGATGAGATCCTCTTCCTAACCAGCACGTCTCCACACATCCCAACGACAGTGCACTCCAGCCTTAAAAATTCTCATCTTTAAGTGGCAGCAGAGCAAAATTCCTCTTCCCAGAGCAGAAGGGAGTCATTTGCTCAGGTAACGTACTTCTTTTGGCCTCTCCTTCTCTGCCTTCCCCACGCAAACAAAGCAACGGCCCAGCCTCGCCGGCTCTTTTAGCACCAAGACAAAACGAGCTTTCATAGCACGGGGCTTGTGTTAGCTTGATTCTGTGGATGGAACAGCATCCAACTCTCTTAAACGAGGAGGCGGGGAAAGGAGGAAGAAAATAGCCACTTTCAGCTATGGAGAAACTCCAGCCCTCCGGGACTCCAGACCACAAAGGCAGCATTGAGAAACGCACTTCAGAAAAGCAGAGGGACCCAGAGGCAGCTCCTCACGCTGTCAACGCGCCCCATGTCACGATGCCCCTGCGGTCGGGATATCCTCGGTCCCGAGGTCTATCTTACCTTTAGAAAGCGAGAAGCTGAGCGTGGGGAGCTTGGCCGCCCCGGGATGTTACAAAATCTCTGGGGTGAACTCCTCTTCTGCCTGACACTGCGATCCAGGACTTTTCGGAGGAGGTGCCTAATGCCAAAATGTGACCTTTTCTGCAAAATACTTTTGCTGCATCGTGTTAAACCGGCAACGGCCGGAAAATAAAACCCTGTATCTCTCCAACTCTGCAAGCAAGAGGCAGAGGTAGACCCCATGTGAGGGCTCACTGGGTCTCCACACAATCACTCCACATCCAGGGATTTCTCACAAGCCCTGACTTTACCCGCAGCCTTACAGGAAATTTCTCCTCCTCTGTTTTAGGTTTATGAGCTGCATTCCTCACGTGGACTCCCTCCTTGGGCCATGACTCAGCTCAAAAGGGCAATTTCCTTCCCCTCCTGACACACATGACCATTGCCCCCGGTGCCGGCCCAGCTGCCCACCAGCAGCTCACCCAATGTGCTTTCAACAACAGTTATTTGGCTCTGGATCACTTCCAAGGAAGAAGCCTCCTTGCTCACTGGTCAGAGCCAGGAGGGCAGCACCATGGTCCACACCCCCTTCCCAATCTCCTGCTTGGGGCTGCCCGACGTCCAGAGCAAGCACAGTGGTGCCAAGGAGAGCAGTGGGAAGATGCACCACTGGGTAACGTTTCTGCAAGACCTGCCGTTTAAAGGCAATTTTTAGAGCAATTTAAAAGATAAACTTCAGCAGAAGGAAGCCAGAGGCTTTTTCCCCCATTCAAACCTGCAAGAGGAAGGGCATGAACACTCAACCAGAAGCACAGCAGGTTTGGTCCAGCCACGGGTGAATAAAAGAGGGCGGCTGCGCAGGGCAGAGTCACAGCGCAGGCCGAACAGAAACAACTCGAGCGAGGACTTAGTCTAGCAAAAGCCCAGAAACAGGATGTGAGAAGACCTGGTTTTGCTCCAGCCTCTCAGAAAAAGCAGCAACTGGCAAAGCACTGACAGAAACCAGCGACCTTTTAACAGCTTTTTCACGCCAGCAAAGGGTTTTGCACCTGGCAAATCTTAAATAAAATAAAATACTTGGCTATGGGAGTAACAGTGGAGTTACATAGCACTGCAGCGAAGTGCTTCAAGGAAGTCCAATGCCAGCATGGCTGCAGCGGGAGAAAAGGCCAGGAGATTTCAGTCTTGCGATGCCACCTCGTGGGAATCGCTGCGAGTCGCTGCCGGCCTCGAACACAGCGGGCACCCAAGGAGTCTTTCCGGCCAAGGAAGCGTAGTTTTAACATCTTCCCAAGCAGGGAATGCGCAACAACTGCGGTGTCATGGTGTCTTCCTGCCATTGTGATGCTGAAATCTCTGATTTCGAGTCCCAGACAGGACAAGGGAGCTCTGCACAACTTGCAAGCTCCCAAAGCCTGACAGTGCTTCCTCCTACACCACACACACAGCGCTGAAGTAAGAGCATTTTCAGGAAAGCACATGAAATATCCCAAAAATTTAACTTGGGGCGGCAACAACTTCTTACTTAAGGCTATCACTCTGATTAATTTTGACCCTGTTAAACTTGTTTGGCTGTCACTGTGTTTACAGAAGCATCGACATGTAATTAATCACTGCACTTTGAGAATTTAAACACATACCAGCATTAAATCGAAGCGCCCAGCCTGCCGCAAGAGCAGCCCTGCTTTCCTGCTGGAAAAAACCGTGGGACGCCTTTCCACCGTGACGAGACTCTGTCCCACAGGATGACAGCCTTCCGCTGAAGCTCCCCAACCTGGCCATTTGACCTCACCACACTTGGTTATTCATCGGGTTTCGTAACACACGGATGCATGAAATCAGCAGGGAGAGGCTTGAAAGGCAGAGGCCAGATGCCCGCCTGCACCAGGCGCTCAAGGTTACCAGCATTTAAATCCCCCCTGCAAACAAAGCTCTCTGTCCTTCCTGGGTGACACTGGGCAACTAAAAACACAGGGGATGACACCCTGGATGACAAGCTGACACACCTTACTGTCATGGTTTAACTTCACTGTGCTGGACTAAACCCAGCACAGTTATCCACAGAGATTGTTTTCAAGATAAACCTTACAGGAGGAGACATCACCTTACTAGATTAACCGACATTGCTGAAAAAACTCCAAGAAGGAAAGCTTTCAGATGCCCAAGCCCTTCTCCACCTTTCAAGCAAGGCACGGGCAGATGACTGCATCGCTTTTACTGCTGTAAAGCGATGGCCGTTTAACGGTGAGATCTGCCGCCGTCAGCCAAACGACCCGGGTGGCACAGTCCGATCCGGCAGTGGCACTTGCCTGTCTCGCTGCGTCTCCCCTCCAGAGCCAGCAGCAGCATCCTAGCCACAAGTGCTGGCCCCCAACCGAGCGAGCCACCCTCCCGGGACCCCCCAGGCAAGGCCGAGAGCACTCACCGCTCAGCTCCGGCGGAGGATAGAGGTGGTATGTGCTGTAAATGTCATTGCACATCTGCAGCTCCAGCTTTGTGTGCTTCTTCAGCAGGTCCGATACTTTCTCCTCCTGGAAAGGAGTCTTTTCCAGGATGACCACGGCATCTGTCCCCTCTCCAGAGGGGCCGGTGACCTGGAATAAGAACGGATAATACACAGCGCTGGCTGGAGAGTTTGAGGCCAGGACCTGAACGTTTCCACCCAGGGACTATGGGGGACACCTTGCAGCCCCACAATTCTCGTGACCAAACCCACTCTCCCAGTCCAACCACCCACCAGCATCCATCCAAAAATAG